GCTTGCCTTGTTTGTTTTTTTTACAGTTACCCTTTCCTGCTTTCCCTGCGAACCTTAATTTGCTCTTATCCTTAGGCTATCATGCTACAAATCTACTGCTACTTATTATGAAGATCACATAATGTAGAAAAAGGAATATTAAAGTCACATTTACTTTGGAATTTCAATTAATGCTTGATCATCATCTGTTCCTCTTTCATATTGCTTGCCTTTTGTGGAGCAAGTTTGAAAATGACCATGGTTACTGCACAGGTTAAACCTAGTTAAGCAGAAAATCAGCCCTGCACCAGGTCCTTCATGTGCTTCTGGGCTGGTTCCCTTATCATGCTACCTTATGTTTTTAACCATCCATTTCTTCTGAGATGACTTTTGATCACTTTTGTGAAGACATATATAATTGTAAATTTGTCTTAGGTAAGTTAATGATGTTAACCATGAAAATATTGTATTAAAAAGTTTTTAAAAGGTCAGCTGAGAGTAAAATTTCCTCCATGGATTCTCTGTCAGGAATGGTGAGAGAGATTTCAGTTAGAATAAGATTTCAAAACCATGGTCTTTACACGACTTCAGATTTTGCTTTTGGAGAAAAAGGTGATAATGCATTTGCCCTGCAGGAAGCCAGAGAAATCTGTGAGATTTACTTTTATTTTGCAAATACTGTTGAAGGAGGCAAATGATGCCTTCTTTCAGATATGGAGTCCTCAGTCTTGGCATTTACATTCGGAAGGTTGGAAACAGTAGCATGACTTGATTTATATATGGGGACAGCAAAGCTTGCTGTTATCACGATGATATTATTGATGTTAGCTGACATGAGATCACAGGAACTTCAGAAGAGCACTGCCAAGATGAGAGGCTGAGAAAGCTAAGTAGACTGATATAGGGAAAGTGTATTTGGGACCACTCAAACACTTCCCTAGAGGCTTAGTTCTAACCATTCAGAAAAAATAACCAGACACCATCAGAAGATACTGTCATGCAGAAAACCTGTCAATAGGAGTGTTGAAAGTATTATATTAAAATATATAACCTTTTCTTATTTGAAGTGGATTTCTATAACTGGATTTCTATACCCATTATAACAGAAAGTGCCAGCAGGCAATATTTATTTTGAGTTAATGATTCCTGGAGAAATGAGGAGCTTAACTGTGAAACTCAGAGCCACAAGTTGCTGGAACAAAGAGTTTAGCTGGATTCAATCAAGAGGCAAAAGCATACAATTTGGCACTTTCTAGACAGCTATCATCACACTTTACGTAACTCACTTAACTTTTATGTAGAAATTTGAAGTTGCCTAAAGAGGACTGGGAGATAATAGTAGCCAGGGAAAGTTTATACCCGTTCTCCTAAAAGAAAAACTTTTATGTATGCACTAAAAAATTTTTGGATTAAACAGTCCTTTGCTACTGCTCTCTAGGGAGCAATAGGGTGCTTTTGGGGACGTCTGTGGTGTTTCACTTCAGTGCTGCCCACACATTTCTGCACATTACTGGTCTGCTGGCCTCATGGACTGAGACCTTTGTGGGTGCTAAAAATCTTATAGAGGAGATTTTTTTTTTTTTTTTTTGGTAAGACTATTTCCTGGGTCTCAGTGGTTTGAAAACAGCTGAGGACACAAGTAATCTTAACTTTGGTTTGAAAAAGTTTTTGGGAGGCGTTTAGCCATAGACTTCAAGGCCATGAGATACCAGGACATAGTCTAGTTGGCTTTAATGAAGAAATACTATGCAAAATTTGGACCTTTGTAGACAAGTGACATCTATAGTGACATCTGAAGAAGAGTTCTCAATCTGAGGGCAGACACATTTAAAATACTTAGCTTGTTTTTTCTACAATTTTGCTTTAGAGCATATTCACTGTAAATATGTTGGTGAGTTTTTAGATTTTTTTTTTTAAATATTCATACATTATATGGAATTTTAACTACATGAACAAATCCTTCCTTAGTGGAATAGTATTATGGTGTCCAGTCTCAGGATAGTTGTGTCACAGACAGAAATGAACATAATAGCTGATTATACTAGCTTATGAGTAGTGGACCTTGCCCTGTGGTGGACATGATTATTTGTGTTTCTGATAATGAAAATAATTTCTTGACACTGTGATTTTTTGGTCATCTCCAATGCAGTAATTTTTCAATCTACTTTGTTGTCAGAAGCTTGAAAAATCCAAAAGTTCTGGAGAGTCAGTCTTCTAAAATATGTAACTCATGGATTTGTCATTACTGATTTTTCTGTAAGTCTTTTTAAACTAAACCCCCAGAAATTTCCATAGAAATAAAGATTTTTTTTTTTATATTGCTTAGTTTCTGTAGCTTTCCTTTTTATTCACTCTGTGTAAGGTGTACAATACTCTTCGTATTCAACAGAATATTGATTAAGGTTAACAAAATTCTAGAGCTGAATTGTGGCTATACACGTTGTGGGAATGACTTTTTTGTGCTCCATACTGCTCAAATAATATTTTGATTCCATTTCTTTCTGAAAGATGAAGGCTGGAGTTTCAGTAACAGTTGTCTTACAACTGTCTCCTAGACAGTCTTCCAATGCTTCCTAGCTCTACAAATGATATTTCCTTGACTTGTAGGCATTGTCTTTCACAGAAGTCCCCTTCCTGGAATTTCTTGAGATAATATCTTCTCTACTGGATAATCCTCTCCCTTCTCTGGAAAAGGCATGAGCCTTGGAAAACAGTATATAGGTCTTCAGGAGAAAATGATTTGCAGTGCCTCCTAATAGAGCTGTGTGAAATTTTGAGAGTGTATAAGTTATTAACCAAAGTGATTTTTTTCCCTGTATGTAAATAAAAGCATTCTTATTTGCTTATTGTAAAATTATCTGATCGAATTTGGAAACACATTTTAATGCAGTGGAGCACTTGCTACTTTTCTCATGCTGTATTCAACTACTAACTTGTTCAATAAACAGGATTTTCAGGTATAGATTGGGAGATAAGCATAGCTTATGGTCATGATCTGAGCTCTTAGGCTAGGAGCTCTGCTTGCTTTTTTTCCCAATGGTTACTGTAAACAAAGACCATTAGCTTTAAAATGGATTTCAGAGGAATTTTGAAAGACCATAAATACCATCAGTGAAATCTGCTGACACTGCCTTGAAAGGATACTAGAAGAGTTGTTAAAACACCTAACTAAATAATGGTATGACTCCATATATATTAGTATTATTTTTTTGCATGTGCTCCTTGGCAAGTTACACGCCTATCATGTACAGACCTCTTGGGTATTGCAGCAGAAGCAGAGTAGTAGTAACAACTAAACCACGCAACTAAAGGAACTGTGCCCAAAGTGCTGTCCCTAAACTCACATTGGTTATGGTGTCCAGTCCTGCGGTACATGGGATTACCAAGCCTTGCTAAGTTTAAAGTACAGTAATCCTCTTTCGTGCAGTAACACGTGTTGATTCTTTATAACAGCTTAGATGGCAATTAGCAGGGGATTTCGGATTCATTGACTGGATACAAATATAGCATAGGGGAGGGAAAGACCTAGGCAGCAGTTCTCAAACTAGGGGTCACTAATGCAGTAAGGGTTGGAGCATTTATGGGGGTGAGGATGAGCCAGCAGAATTTTGCAGAGGGGTGAGTGTTACTAGCATTTGGGATTGCAAACAGAGCTATTGGATCTTCTCAGAAATATATAAAGACTGTCTTGACTGTGAAATGTTTCTGTTTAGTTTTGTGGTTTCTCCAGCATTTTGTAACCATTGGTGTAAATCCTTTGGGGTTGATGCTCCAGCTGGCTATGTCAGTGGTTGCTGCTCTGCTTTTGAAGTATTAGGAGAATGTAGTTGTTGAATCAGCCTTATTAGTTTAAGGTGTTATGATATTCCTTATGAGAACAAGCCTGGGGTGAAGTGAGGAAGAATGAAGTGAGCTGACTTTGTTTTACCTGAAGAACCATTATCATTGCAGTTAATGGAAAGTGAAAGATTTTACAAATTTTAATATTCAGGAGATCAGTGTAGTCACCAAACAAATTTTACTGCAAATGCATTGGCTCTTTTTGCTAGCAAATTTTGTGCATTTTAGCGATTCAATTGGTAATAATGAAATATTACATCATATTTCTGGTTTCCCTGCCAGCTAGCAAAGTTGAGCCAGCAGAGAAGAATATGCTGGTTTAGAGCAATAAAAATTCTTTTAACTTCTTTTTAGTGCTTGGGAGAAATTTTATTCAGGTAAGAGCAAGATTCATACTGGCTCCAAACGCAAATTCAGATCCTAGAATTATAGGCTGAATTCACACCTTTATGACTTTGAATCTATGAGTTCAGCTATTGGTTGCTGCATGCTCAATTTCTTGTCAGAAGAGCAAGGGGCTGGAGTATACAACCCTAGGTGAGAGTGGTTTTGAACGGTGGTTTGAATTAAAAACCAACCAACCAACCAACCCACAAAATCTCAGAAATTTAACTGAATTGTCATTTTGTATTTTTGTTTTTAGGCACCAATAAGGGCTTTATTTTGGCTTGTAGTGAGCTTATAGGTTTGTTTACCATGAAAGGGCTTTGCCAACTGTTTTTTAAAACATTTAATAAATAAGCATTTGTTGAATGTATTAAAATATTGATTCTCTGCCTATAAGATATTAAGCAAGTTACAAAAAACCACGTGTGTTATATTCAATATACTGAACAGTTTAAATTAAATTAATTCTATTTTTCATCAACATTTTTATTTTTTAATGAATTTTGTCTATCTCATTTTGTGTAATTAGTTTCTCCCTCTTCCTCCCTTTCAAAACATTGAATAAATGATCTTCCTGCTTAAGCTGGTCTTTGATGAACTCTGAAGTCTTGTATGTTTTATGACAATATTTTCCTCTGTGCCATTAGTGGCTTTCCTTTCTTCCATTAGCATCCCTGAAAAAGCACACCAAGAAATATTTCAATAAATTTAAGACTGAAACCAAAAGGGAGTTGACTAAGTCTATGCAAACACTTATTTTCTGGTTCTGCTGCCAAGATGAAAATCTAAGTGTGGGCAGAAAAATACACATTGAAACTTTACTTTTATGTCAAAATGGCAGGCCACGTGCTGTTAGTAAAGACTGTAGGCAGTGGGTCAGTGTTCAGGCGCTCCTGCAAACGGGGAAGTGCTGGATTTTGACACATCCCTTCCCAAGTGAGATTTGATCTTGGGAGCTGTGAGGACTGGGTTTTGGACTGGTGCTTTGACAGGTCACAGTGGTTTGGCAGCTGCTTTCTCTTGTGGGTGTTGAGCTTGACCTGACTTTGAGCCCCAGGTGTGCAGGTGGACCTGCCCTGGTAGATCTGAAGGTGATGCCAGCTCCCAGTTTCTCACTGCAGAAGGCATGTAAGCAGCTGTTTCTTCTCTCTTTCCTAAAACAGACATAAACACTATGCAAGCCACCCACAGAGTCGTGCAGAAAAGCACATCTCAGGTTGGGCTTTTTTCCTGTTAACGCTGTCTATATCAAACAACAGATATGCAACATTAAATAGTTTATTTTTGCAAGAAGACACAAAATCTGTAGCTCTTTGGTCAGCAGATGCATCTATGCCTTGATCTACTTCTATTTATTATTCAGTTTTTATTCTACTCAAAATTATTCTGTATTTTTAAGACCAAATTTCACAGATAGTTTCAAAACATCTGAAGTGGCATTTTTAGGTCATGAACTATTTGTGGAATATTTTGACCTAGTTCTGTAGATGAACTCAAAAATTTGAAAGGAAAATAAAAGTTTACTTCAATGTACCTTATTACTATCTATTTCGGAAGATATAATTTCTGTTTACAATCTGATAACTTTGTCAAATCTGAACTGAATATTAATAAGGGAGAAAAATGTGGACATAAACTTCCCTTTTCTTAAACTTTTCAGCAGAAAAAGATGAGTGCAAGGTGTCACTAGAATGCTGATACCTCCTCTATACTAAGTTATCATTTTTCATTTGTATCTGTGCCCCCACTTGCCATGTACATAGTGGCTATAACTTGCTTGGGATCTGTTTCTGGGGACTAGAAGGCACAGTATTCTGTTGCACTTAAAAGACATAATGGTATTATCTCATCCCTGATGAAATTCATAACATTTTGTGTTGAAAACATCCACTTCCCATCACAACTGCCATGGTTCTCCTGGGATCACTTCTTTGCTTGCTTTAATCACAATTAGGCACTCTATTTTTTCTCACTGCCTTGTTTTCAACTGTTTTCTTAATTAATGCATCCAAGCTGGTAAGCAAATAGAGGGGAACAGAGCAAACTGTGGGGCAGTTATTTCTTTTGCTGCTGTGCTATTCTATTGTTTTGAGTTCCACATTAACTCTGGCTCATATAATCTTTTTTCTTACTCCATATGACTCACAGGCTAAGCAGAGCAGATGGAGAAGTGATTTCAGAGAGTGACCTCATTTCTGCAAATACTACTTCTCCAAAAGAGACAGCAATCAACCTGTGTCTTACAAAAAGAAAAAGGTTTCTTTTTTTTTCTTTTCCTTTTACTGTATTATAGACATGAACAATTTTGAAAAGATAAAAGGGCAAGGGGGAAAAGTCTGAGCTTCCAGCACTTACCAGTGTGTTCAGCTGTTCTGAGCCTTGTCAAAGACTCAAAGAGCGCTGTCAAACCTTTGGGTTCAGCTACCTAAAAATCTCCTCTCACACTATACTTTTAGTTCTTCTCTATGCACAAAGTATTCAAAATATTTTTTTATTAGTGAAATAGCTTTACATTTCAACACATTTAATTTCTTTGTAAGAGGGTTTCTACTCATTTGTGTATCTGAAGTTATTGAATTTGTTGCAGTTTTCAGGTCTTAGCTGCAGACACTATTACTTCAGACAAATACACAAAATAATGACTGCAAATCACTATCAAAAAGTATGAGTTATCAAAAAACCCCCCAGCGTCTGCAAGGAATAACTGGGCATATTTTTTCCTCTGTTCTTTATTGTCATGACTAGTCCAAGAGAAAACAAAGCTGGATGAAACCTGTAGGTTAGAAATTTCCATAATGCTGGAAATATCTGACAATTTTCATTTTCTATAAATGATAACCAATATATATATGCAGAGCAATGATAAGTCTTGAAATCATAGAATAATATAAATCTGTAAGAGGAAAACAAAAATATAATTTCAGTAGCACCCTGAGTTTGATATTGATCTTGACTCTAATAGTATTTACATCATTAAGCGGACAGCACTGCTATCTTGGTGTAAAGCTCAATGTCAGGAATACATCCTTAAAACTCACAATACTTTTGTATTTTCTTCAAATCTCAAACCTTATAAGTCAAGTTTTTACGAAAGAATCTTCCTTTTCAAATGAGGAATATTAATATACTTGGAGGACTTAGAGCTAAGATATCCTGAAGCTTAAGAAAGGAAGTATATAAATGTCTGTACTTTCAAAGAACTTTTAAAATGTTAATATATATTAAACTAGCTTTTTGAGTTTTGGAAGAGGTACAACATCATAAGTCTAAAGTGTCATCAAAATGAATAAGCTGTAATAGAAAGGAGTTATTCATCTTAATTTATGTAAACATCTCTCTACATTGTTACCTAAGGAAACAAATATTAGTGCATATCATACATAATTTGCTTAAAGAGCAGGTAGCATGTTAAAAGCAGTTAATTACTGCATTATAATCACAAATATTTAAACCAACATTTTTCAAATCACATTGTTTTATTATTTAAATTCTTTTAGATTAAAAATTCTAGAAGTTATAAAATGATAGAAAGGATGACATCAGTGCTAATAAATTACCATAGATGAATCTGTAAGGAACGATTATCAGAAGAAGTCATTAGTACAAGACACTGACAGAAGAGCGGGGAGTTCTGGATTTCTGTTGAGATAATTGTCTCATTCAATAACACGTGAACTCATGTTATGTCCTGTGAGACATATGTTGACATTGTCTCTTTTTAGGATAACTTTTGTCAATATTTGGAACTGTATTATAAAAGTTCATCTCTTCCAAGATTCAATCATAAGGGGGAACTTCTGAGGATATAGATTTTCTGGGTCTGCTCAGTTTGAACTTGATAATTTTGATGAGAAACTAAAATTCCTTTTGTTTTTCCTTTAACCACTGAAGATATTTCTCTTCATTTGATATCTCTGTATTGTTCTCTCTTGGAAGAACTTGTGGGTGGATGGTAAGCTTGACCAAGGCAATCAGAAGAGGTCTTAGTGAACTGAGAGCCTGTATTCCACTTCTAACCAGGGTTGGGTGAAGGCACAGCCAGGCTGAAGCTGAGAATTAAATAAACTTTCGCACTTTATTTTCTTGTACTTGACCACAAACAGCTGAGAGGACTGGTGATTTGTGGCTTTTTCCTATGTCCTGCCCTTCAAACACCTCACACAGACTGTAAGCCAGTGCCCCAGATCAGAGGAGAGCGATGCCAAGCCCTGCCGTGAGAGACAAGCATTGCCCAGGGCTGAACCTGTCAGTCATCCTAAGCACACGTCTTTCCTAATTCCTGCTGAGGTTTAACTTGTACTGGATGTGGACTTCCTTACCCTCATGTTCTTTCCTTTGTTAGACTTTAATGTAGTCGTCCTTCATCATAGGAAAAATGAGAGAAAAGTAAGGTGTCTGTAGCTTCAACAATATACATCAAAGGAAACACGAGGTGATATAAGATTTTATATACATCTCAGAACATCTACAATATGTTGGCTTTTGTGACCATTAAGAAATTTTATTTTTTGCAAGAAGAGAACTTCGATTCAAGGGGCACTGGGAAAATTGATGAGTTAGGAGCACAGTAGTTGTAGTTGCATACATAGTTCTATGAGTAAGTTTGTGAATGTTCATCATGTGAACAGATTTTTCCATTACTTAATAATTGTTTAAGCGTCTTTAAATTGTTGAAAGGTATTTTTTTGTAGTGGAGGAGGATGGAAAGCACTTTTATAGGGTAGTTGGGAAAAAATCCCATAATATGTGTTGTGTAAATACTGTGAAATCAAATTAGAGGAAAGAATATTGAAGAAGGAGGGGTGAAGGGAATGTTAAGAATTTCTTTTTCTCACAAACCAGGTACAGTGCTTCATCAACAATCTTTTCCCCCATGTGAAACTTGTCCTGATTAGTTTAATTATGCAAATATTAGTATTTGCCTCATTTCTCTAAATCACAGTAATGATTGTACTGTCATATTACAGAAAATACACTAAGCATCTTATAGGAAGTCCCTTTTAAACCCTAGTTATGGGCTCAGAATAGAAATGCATTATTCAGTGTAATATTTCTTGAAACTGATTGTTGCAGTAAATTAAATAGAGATTCTACTCACATTCTAATATGTAGATGCTTTTTGCATGAATCCATATTACGTTTGATGTTAAAGGTGGTTGAAATTTTGTAAACAGAGAAGACCACTTTATGACTGTTGCAGTGTCAAAAACAGCTCTTTCACAAGCATTGACCAGCTGGATGTACTTCACAAACCCTTTACCTAATACAAAATCTGTACACAAGATTCTGTGTCTGTTAGCATAACTACAGGACAAAGTAATAGGGTCAACATTTGTATTAGAATCTTGTAACATGGAGATTATTTAGCAACTGGAAGGGTTTTATCCACCTATGAGGATTCATATATTGAAACATCTTCAGTTTCTCACCATAAAGCCCAAGTGTAAGCCAGATGAATGTGGGAAATGCTGAGGCTGGTCACTGGGAAATAGAAAATCATGTTCCTGTGTCTCGTGCTGTGATGGTGTTATACATGGCAAGTGTAGGTATTATGGAAAGGTGGTAAACTTGCACCTGGACCACTTTGCTCACTCACCTAGTTGTTATCTCCAGCAGAAATGTAACCTCATTTCTAATACTTTTCCACTTTTTTTCTCTATTACAGTGGAGTTCTCAATGGCTCTATTTGCTAAAAGGTTATTTTGGGCAGTAGTGGCTTTCAAGCACATTTGCTGCTTACTGATGAACTAGCTCTGAGGCAGGGCACTTCCCCTCACTCACTGCCATTCCTCAAGTTTAAAAAAAAATACTTGTAAGGGAACTGGATGTCAGCTTGCTAATGGAAGACTGAGTGGAGCTTCTGACTGTTTTCTCCTAGTGGCCTTGATTTACAAGGACTCACCTATGGGCATAGAGAGGATGGCCAATAGACATGACAGCTGTTTATTTTCATGCATGCCTCCACTCAATACTTATTTAGTATTTGTACTATTTAGCAAGTATTTGCTAAAATATGTGTACTTGCTTATGCCAATAATAGAAGGTCAAAGCCTTCCTTTGGAAAGCTCTGGAGGTCAGGGTATGACAAAGCAGCCTGCTCCTGACCTGCTCTGCTCCCTTTCCCTTGGGTTGTCCTTATGGGTCTCATTTTGCTGGTTTGTTAAAACTACTTTCTAATCTACTGACTAGAGTTGTGTAAACTTATACACATGGTATTGCTAACAATCAGACATTCCTTAAGGTTCCCATGACAAATAAAAATCACACTAGAGAAAAATTCTACTTTATGGTCCCCAGGGTTTAAAATGAAGTATTAGCTATAATGAAGGTTGGGTTTTCTTCTGATTACTGAAATTTTTCACAACTTCCATCTACAAGTCACAAATTCACAGGACTTTGGCTACAAAAATAGCCTTTTGCATTGCCATGTCCCTTCCTTGGGACATAGGTGATTTATAAGCTTTTTGTGAGTAAGAAGTCTCTTTTATGAAGTAACACATGAATTCACAAAAGCTTACATTATAATTAGAGAGTCATTTGGATTCATTGACTGTATACAATTACAGTTTTCCCTCATCTGATTTCTATGACCCCCATTAAGCATCATTATAATTCCCATTGACTACTGATTTATTTTCCATACTATTTAAGAGATTTCTCAAGGGAATGCTGAAGATTCTGTAAGTCAAAAATATCACAGTGCAATAAATAGCCATTTTTAATGGCATCCATTGTTTCCCCAAGATGTATTGTCTCAGGGGACCAGAGTCCAGCAGAGATTAGCCCTAAGTCTTTTATAAATCTGCCTCTACTTGTTATGTATCACTTCTCACCTCACAAGCATTTGAGATTGTTCCTCACTTAGCACAACAGCTCTGCACAAAAACTCCTTCCATTTGATCTTATCTTGAAGTCCTGGGAGAGCTTCCTGATTGATGGTAGCATGTTCAGCCAGTGGACATTAGTGGGTTGAATTACTGTTGCTGGTGCATTAGCTTTCAGAAAAGTTTAGGTTAACACTTACCTTTGGCTGTAATAATATTTCTTTTTATTGTAATAGGTTCTTCTAACCTTGTGTTATTTCTATCAAATCTGAGATTAATGATAAAATCTGCCTTTGTGTTCTGTTACTGCCTGAGCACACAAAGTAAGAGCTATGACAAATATTGCTCTAAAAGACTCCTGAGCAGTAGCTAAGTCTTGTTAGCCTAGTTAGGGGGAGTACACATTGCAATGGGAATCTCATATGAGTCATTTTAGAGAAGAGAGTTTTAAAAGTGCTCAAAAAAATTGGAGATCATTGACGCAATAAAGATATAAAATCCAACTCAATTTTTCATTATCATCCAGAGAACACACAGCTGCATTATAACTAAAGTTATATGTCACAAACATACCAGTAGATACAGAATAACAGGACAATTCCAGTCACAGCAAAAGAATACAAAATTGAGGATATTAACAAAACATTCTGTGCTGTTCTATGACTCATTTAAGACACCATGATACTAAATCACAATGAAATGCCATAAAGATACACTGCAAAAAGTGAAATAATAGCTGGCTTTCAGTAGTTTTTCAGGCAGCTTTTACTGGAAGCAAAACCTTTGCACTGAAATACTTTTGCACATCCAATAAAATTCTTAAGTGTCATGTACAAATTCTGTCTTGTTTCTTGATTCCTTCTCAAAATTTCACTCTGTGTTCTCACAGTAGATCAACAGAGTGGGGGTCTACAGTGGCAAGAAGGCTGAAGACAAGTGATGTGAATGTTTAGTCTCTATATAACAACCAGTTAATATACAGTCAAAATTATTTATAAAAGGCAGAAGCCTATTGCTGTACAATGATTTAAAATTCCCATAGACTGTGAGACCAAAAGAGAGCACAAGAGGAAAACACCAATGAGATGGAGATGTCATGACAAAGGAGAAAATTTTTCCCATACATTAAGGAAAAAAAAAATAAAATTCTCATTTCAAAGGAGTTTTTTCTGCACACAAGTTCCTGCAATTCAAAAGATGGGGAGAGAATTTGTGTATTTATCATCACTTGCATAATTACTAAAAGAAATGATCATGGAACTGGCTAAAAAACATAACTCATTTCATCTTTAAGGCAATTGCTGATGGACTGGAGAGCAAGTATATTGATAGTTCTTTTGAAGCTATTTGAAATGTTGAAGAAGGAGAGGGAATCTCCTTTCTGCTTCCATGAGAAATGATTGCAAAAAAAATGTGTCAGGGGAACAATTTAAGCTTTTTAAGAGCTGAATTAGCATTCCAATGGCATTTCTACACTTCAAATAGTTTTGATCTTATTGACTGTCACTGCACTTCCAGGATTCTCTTTTTCATATATTTAGTCCTTTAGGAAGATGGTTAACTTGGCAAATAACAAGAGAAGGTTTAAATTAATATTTTGACAGGTTCACTTGTATTAAATAAAATACTTAGTAGATAACTGTGCTGAGTTAACCCTGGCTGGACGCCAGGTACCCACGAAAGCCACTTTCTCACTCCCCTCTGCAACTGGACAGAGGAAAGAAAATATAATGAATGATTCAGTGGCATAGGAACAGGTCACTTACCTATCACTGTCACAGGCAAAAAAGACTCAAAGTGGGGATATTAATTAAATTTATTACTAACAGAATCAGAGCAGGAGAATGAGAAGTAAACTAAATCTTAAAAATACCCTCCCCCCACCCTTCCCTCCTTCCAAGTTCTACCTCCTCCCCTCCACAGTGGTGCAGGGAGACAGAGAATGTGGGCTATTGTCAGTTGTTGTTTCTGCAGCTCAGCGACAGGAGTCCTTCCCTTGCTTCCGTGAGGTCTCTCTAAGGGGAGACAATCTTTCACTAAGTTCTCCAGCATGAGTCCATCCACGGGCAACAGTTCCTCACAAACTGATGCAACTGGGTTGCTTCTCCACAGAGTGGAATCCTACAGGCCCAGGCTGCTCCAGTGTGGGTCCCCCACAGGACCACAAATCCTACCAGGAAAAATCTGCTTCGGCATGGGCTTCTCTCTCCAGGGATCAGCAGGTCCCTCCCTTATGGGGGGCTCCAGCATGGGCCTCCCACGGGGTCACAGCCTCCTTTGGGTGTCCACCTTCTCTGGCATGGGCTCCTCCATGAGCTGCAGGTGAGTCTCTTCACTCCCATGGTCCTCCAAGGACCAGGGTGGCAGCCTGGTTCACCATGGTCTTCACCACAGGCTACAGGGGAACCTCAGCTCCAGAGCCTGAAGCACCTCCTTCACCTCTTTCTCCACTGACCCACTGACAGCATCTGCAGAGATGTTCACATGTTCTCACACGGCTCTCCTCTGGCTGCAATTTTCATCTGCCCAACAACCTTTTTTTCCCTTCTTAAATATGTTATCACAGAGGCATTACTATCACCCCTGATTGGCCTGGCTTTGGCCAGTGGCAGGTCAGTCTGGAGATGGCTGGCATTGGCTCTGCCAGACATGGGAGAAGTTTCCAGTAGCTTCTCACAGAAGCCTCCCCTATAGCCTGTCTGCTACCAAAACCTGGCCACAGAAACCCAATACGATAACAGACACCAGAGGAAAAACTAGAAACAGATAGTAAAGAATCAAGGTAGAAGTCTTACAAATATGTAAGGTTATGCTTGCACACATGGAGTCGGGCTCTTCTCAGCTCTGCCAACAGTAGGACAAAAGCAACAGGAAGAAACTGATGCACAGGAATTTCCACCTGAATGAGGAAGAACTCAACTGTGTGAGTGACTGTGCACTGGAACAAATTGCCCAGAGAGGCTGTACTTCATCAGAGATATTCAAGAACCGTCTGGATGCAGTCTTGGGCCGTGTGCTCTAGGACAACTCTGCTTGAGCAGGGAGATTGGAACAGGTGACCCACTGTGGTTCCTTCCAACTTGACCCATTCTGTGATTCTGAGATTTTCAGTGACTAAAGCAGTATGTGTTTGCAAAACTGGGATCTTAACTAGTTTCCATGGTCTAAGGAAGGTAAGGAAAACAAATTTCCCTTTGGAAAATTTGAAAGGAGGTTATGTTGTGAAAAGAGAAATGAAAACAGATCCATCTATATGGATTTTTTTTCCTTAATTGGTAGAATTGTTCAGTATTAGAAACCATCATTTTGTCTGCAAAATGTTAAGTCCATTAATTGCTTTGAAAGACAAAGCAAACTAAATGAATAAGTATACAGAACTTCAAACTTTGAACTGTTTACTATACTCAGATAAAAAATCCCCAGGAGGGACTGGAACAGTTGTTGTCTGAAGGTTCAGTTCCCTCAGTTAATAAGAGCTTCTGGTGATTTGGTAGATATTTGGAGGAAAATAGATCTGGCAACAAGCCTGAAGATATTTTCTTTAGCTTCAGGCTGTGAGAAATGTGGCACATCCATTTACAAAGGACAGAAGGAAAGGAAGACTGTTTAAAAAAAAAAAAAAAAAAGATAAACTAATGCTCCATTTTTATCATTTCTCAGCTTGAAATACAGTGAGGCACATAATGTCCCTGTAGCTACAGCAGGCTTCCTCATAAATACTGGTGACGTGCTGAATGCTTTAAGAAAAGAAATGGAAGTCATTAGACTTCTCATTAATGGCCTAGCTCTTGGGTAAGTGTCCTAACAATTGCCGGAGCATGAAAAGACACCCTGGCAACTGCTGATCGGCCAAAAGATTTCTTCCTCCCCTGCTATTTCCATTGGATCTTTTATTTAAAAACAGAGAAGAGCTTGAACTGTAAGATGTGAACCATGTTGTGAAGGATGCAAGACCTAAGTAAGTACATTAAGCAAAGGCCTTGTGAAAGCTTCTTTGCTGATACTGTTCCATTCTCATTCAGTAGCACGGTACTTTTTTGTCTTAACTATGTGTGCAGGCCTATGTGTACAGAAACTGTAAAGTATAAAAACCAGAATGGTTTAAAAACTATTTTTATGATCTTTGGTTTAAGTACTTTTTTTTCTGATGTCTGTGACAGATGGTAAAACTGAGATAATGCCACAACTGTGTGAGGCAGAAGTAAATGCAGACCTAAAATGACTGAAAGAGCTTGCAAAGATTAATTACAGTAGAGAGATATGCATGCCATAGCTGGCACAGTCTCTCTATATCATACGTAGGTATATTTGATTATATAAGTTCAAAAATAGCTTTTGTGCAGTGACTCAGATGCCTTTTTATTTTTGATATGCATTAACTTTCATGAATTCCTTTGATGTAAACCAAACTCCACATTCTCTGCATCATTATTATGACTTCTTTGGATATTTTGTGGTAAAATGCAAGAAAGAGAATATTCTGCCCCAGCTACATTTTGGCAAACTGGATCATTCTTTATGTGTCACATCCATGCCACAGGAGGATGAAAAAGCAGTACATTTTAACATGAAACAGGGATACCGTTCTCCCACCTTCTGCATCAGAAGAACAGGTAGGTTGCCTAGGAGAAGACTGCGGGTACAAAATATTCTGTATTAATGAAAGGTATGAATTTGTAATAAATCAAATGTTCTAGGATTACTATTTAGTCATGTTCTTCCTCCTATATGTAATGCAACTTATTCATTAGGAAGGAGAGACTGACACATAAATTTATTTTTATCATTGGATAATAGCATGGACATTGGAGGTAATTTTAGAATAGATTTTGGAAAAGCAAAAGAAACACCACTGTTTAACAATTAATAGCTTCCTATTTGGAAGGAGAACATCTATTTTGAAGATAGCAGGTACTGAAACACAAAAACAGTTTGAAGAAGTAAGAGGGCATAGTATCTTTTGGACTAGCCAGGATTTTAACTTTGAGAGGCAGATCCCTTGCTCGAAGTTTCTGTATTACCTTTTGCCCCTGCATGGTCAGTTTTTTCTTTCCTTCACCTCTAGAAAATGGGCCAGAGGATGGCTTTATCTAAATTACAGTGAAAACACCTCGTGGAGATGA